TTACTGGTGTGGGAGCTGAGCCCTGGACCCACGGCTGAGGCCTTGCATGTGAGCCGGGCTAGGGTGGAGGGAGGGATGGGGAAGGCCGCCCCCTCCGGTGACCAGGACTTCCGGAGTCCCGCCGTAGTCCTCCCCGCCGAGAGGAGTCAGTTTTGGAGGGATCCTCAGCAGTCAGGTGGCCCCGGCGGATTTTTGAGAGGAAACTCTCAACAGCACATGTTGCCTTCTAATGCTTCTCGAATCCTAGGATTTCAGAGGAAAAAACGCTTGTTCATGAAAGAAGTGTTTTGAGTTGCACCCTCTCCACAATTACCTGGGGAATATGGGGGAACGGGCAGTTTTGTTTTCTGGGCGTGAAATTTCATGTACTTACTTAGCGTGGGGCCCCCCCACAGCATTCTCTGTTCACAGTATTCTCCCAGTTTGGTCTTCTGTATTCGGTCCGAGTCTTCCCAAACGCTGCAGTGGCCCGTCCTGGTTTCTATGCCATCATCAAGTTTTACTCGGCGAGGGATGCCCACAGAGCCCAAAAGGCATGTGACCAGGAGCAGCTTTTTCAGAAATCTCCAGTGAAGGTGGGTCCAAATATGGAATTCCTAGCTCTATGGGGGTGAAGTGCTGAATTCTGTAATTAATAGGCTCGCATTTGTACAGGACTCTGGTTTACAGAATGCTTGTAGGTGCATTGCTGCACTGATCTTTTGGTTCTCCCCCTCCCCCTTATTTTTTAGATGAAGAAACTTGAACTCAGGATGGTTAAGTAACTTACTTAAGGTTCATGACAATAACTGGAAGCCAGAGGTCAAACCTGAACATACTGATGTTATACCCCATGTCATTTTACGCTAACCTCTTAAGAAATCTTCACAAGACATTTCTTGCTTATGTTTACTGTTATGTGGATTTAAAATGTGTGAGCTTGACGAACTCTTTCATCAGCTGTAACATAAAAGAGGCTTCATCGTCATAATCATCACCCTCAAACTGCCTATTCAGAACTACCTTCAGTGCCCAGAAAACAGTTAAAGTGTTCTTTATTGCATTGTAGAAACCATATTCCATAGATCCAATTTTACTTTCCCAGAGCTCCAGAATTATATTTCATTATGCATCTCAATTCAACCACCATTCCTTTATCAAGGACCATTTCAATTCCTTTAAATAAATGAGTGAAGCTTAGATTTCCCAAACCTTTCACTTTATACTTGTATGTTTTCATAAACCTTCTCAGATTGTTCTTGATCCGGTTATTTGCTGCTGACCTAGATGCCTATTCTTACTATATTCCTTTCCTCATTGATTTAACCTGGATCAAATTTGATAACTTTCCTCAGATGTGACTCCACTTCTGTACCCTGTTGAACACCCCTTCAATCCTGGCTCTATTCCCTGTGATCGCAATGATTGCCTGTCAGACATTCTTTAATTTGAAGACTATGATCTGCTTGCTTCTAGCCTGTGACAGTTTCACATAGCCACTCAAATATTACAGATGGTATTGGAAAGATTATGAAACAATTACTTGGTATCAGTTATGAGTAATGAGCTTTTTTTCTTTCACTGGACATTAAGACCATTTCGTAAGGTTTGGATTTTGAGATTTTCACAGCATAAAGCCCATCACTGATAGAATGATGAAGGAAATGTTCTACAACTCAATATGTAGTTGAGAGGGCATTCATATTAGATTTCTTTCTTTACTTAACACAGAGCTTTGGGTTACTAATCTACCCACCCCACTCCCTAGAAATTGTTACCTAGTTTATGTGTTCTTCTACACTTTGGCAAGTATACAGAGTTCCTGTCTTTTTTGCCTTTTATAAATACAGAAAAGAAAAATAAAGGCAAAGACCTAAGGCATCTGAGGGAGGTGTTTTGTTTGTTTTGTTTTCAATAGCATGAAAGAAAATGGTTGTCAGCAAGAACTGTGGCAAGGTTATCCAAGGTGCCAACTGTCTTTACTACCCAGAGGCTCAGAGCTCTTAAGCTTCCTAGTTGTCCAGAATAGCTCGCCTGTGGCTCACCCTTTAGGCTATCTCCCAGCAGCACTCAACATTTAAAAATAGTGTTCATTTCTCCTTCCTAGCAGGCAGCTTCAGGGGGAGAAAGTAATTTCATTTTCTTATTTATTCATTCATTCACTCAATCAACAGATCATCAGTTTCCTACTGTATGCCAAGACCTCTGTGTGATTCTGGAAATGAGAAAAAAATAAGATATGGTTCCTTCATGCACTTAAGGAGCTTATAAACTAGTGATAATAGGAAGATGCACAAACAAATAAATAACAGATTAATAATGCCTTGACTTTATTTGTATTATTTGAATTTTTATGAATATATTCATATATTGCACCCTGTTTAAAATTGAAATACACATTTAAGAAAGAACTGATAATTAAGAAATTCACAGTAATAAAAGTTATTTAGAGAGTAAACAATGGAGATGTTTGGAATCTCAAAGAAGCTTCTTAATGCACATGAGCCCTTAATTGTTTTAGTTGCTTATAAAATTCATAAAGGTATGTAATACTAACCCTTCTTAGTAATTTGGGAAGTGGCTGGCTATAGATTAAGGTCCTACCTCAGTGGCAGGTCCATCTTAATCTGTTCTGACCATATTCACAGGCAGGAGCTACAGGATGAGGTGACTAAAACAATTTACTTCCTTTGCTTACTCACAACCTATAATTTGCTTCTGCAGGTTTCTTTCATTGCTCTCATCACCACTCACCACCAGACATCAGAAAAACCTTCCTAATAATCAGGGCCCTGGAAATGATGCAGAAAAGTACTGTGGCTTAAAAATAATAACATTTATTTAGGACTTACAATGAACTCATTACTTAAAATGTTGTATCCTATTTAAAATGTATCCACACTATAAAATTGGTATGATAGATCTTAGATGTATCCAAAATAAGTCTCTGTGGCACATTATGATATCTTTAGGTCTATCTTTATGTCTCTAGGTTCATCTGGGCACCAGACACAAGGCAATTCAACATCAAGCCCTTGCTCTAAATAGCTTCCGATGCCAAGAATTGGCAAATTACTACTTTGGTTTCAATGGATGGTCAAAAAGGATCATCAAGGTAAACTCTGTAGATTTTCTTTGACTAGCCAGAAAAGAATAAACTGGATTGTGGGGAGGAGATGTGAGAGGCCTCTAAGTAGAAGTATCTGAGCATTGGCCTGCCACCTAGAATTAATAATCTCAATGACATGGGTGGCAGTGTCCATAATTCTCTCCAGTATTTGTATGGTATATACTAAAAAATAGTTGTCTATACCTAGTAATTCATTTGAAAGTCTTATTTGATTTTTGAAGCCATAAGACACCTCAATTTGTTAGCTGGAATTGCTGGAATTTAGTTTTTATTTCTAATAAAACATTGTGAAGTCTACATTGAGATCCCAGGGAAGGTCTCTAATTCAAAATCCTAACAGCTTCAGGATCTATCTGACCTTGAAGAAACAGATAATGAAGATACTGTTGCACCACTGCAGAAGCAAAGCCTGAAGTTCTTCTGTGCTTTAGAGGTGGTATTGCCATTCTATGAGTGCAGGAGTCCTGGAGTTGGTGTGGCTGAGGAGCCTTTGGATAAGCTGGAGGAAGGTCTGTTTCCAGAGTGTGGGGTGGGGAGGCAGGCAGGGAGAGTCTCTCCTTTTTAAAACTCTTCAGTACATCATCAAGTCTTCCCCTCGCGAAGCTTAAAGCCCTGGGCAGAGTTTTCCTGTCTTACAATATGAGTTTTTATCTTAGCCAATATCTGACAGAACTTTTAAATTTATAATTTTGAACTGACTTCTGCCAAGAAGCTTTGAAGGGGGAAATAATTTTTGGTTAAGAATTTTCTTGTGCTAAAATAGTCCTTCAAAAACAGATCTCTTGGAGCCTTCAATTATCCCAGCAAAATCATCATCTAAAGAGTTAAATAAACTCTCGTGTAAATGTTTAGTCCTTTGCCTCCTATGAAAGGGCTTTAACAAAATAAAGTCAAATACAGAAAGGGTGTTCTATATTCACTATCTATTCACATATAGAAAGGACCTAGAAAGGATATTCCAGTTGCTACTGAGTTTCTTCCAAGAATCTATGGCACTCAGGCTTAGGGTTTTAAGGCAGAGGTAGGGCTGTTAGCAAATGAAATGGGGTAAGCTCTTGGGGGTGATGCACAGGGAGAGACCAGATCATCTTGCGCTACCACCAAACCCTTTCTCACTGTGTGATTCCAGCTTTTGATGCACAGGACCGTAAGGTCTGTTGGAATGTAGTTTTTGCTTGTCCATTTGAAATCTTTGTGATGTGAGGATTGAGCCATGTTCTTTGCTTGCATCTCCCCTCTAATACTTCAAGAACTCCCAAAATAGACTGGGGCAGTAAAAATGTGCCCTGCCAGGATATACCTGCAGCAGAGTCATTGAACTATACCTTTGTGTTGTACCTTCCTGTAATCGCTAAGTTAATGATCTAAGAATCATGGATACATTTTTACTTTTAAACATACAGCATAAAAATCAATTATTGTTCAGATGGACATTTAAATCCATTTGTTTGGGTTGGATTTAGGGCCCTTATCATTGCTTATGGGAAGGAAGACAGTCCAGAAGCTTGCTATTCAGAAGGCTATGTCAGATGCATTCCAGAAACTGTTGATTGTAGTTTTAGGTAAGATTTCTTTTTTATTTTTCTTGAAGTACTTGAGTTTCAATGAGCAAATAAACTCATTTTGGGAAGTTAATTGGATGAAAATAATGTCTAAAGCACTCCATATTCTTTTAGTTGCCAAATGCTTTCACAGTAACAGTCTCAAATTTCTTCTTTTGTGGCATTTATGAGAAAAATGACAGCAAATATTATTGTACCCATTGTATACATGTAGAATGACTTGCCTCAGTTCACACAGAAAGTAAGTATTTGATCCAGTTCTTCTTTCTCAATTTTGCCAGAGTAGTATAGTGATTATAAGCTTTGGACACTGGGTTTGAGTGCTAACTCTGTTCCTTAGGTTTCTTATGCAATTTTAGGTTTTATAGCCAGAGAGATTTGACGGTATTTAACATCTCTAAGCTGCAATTTCTTTATCTGCAAAATAGGGTTAGTAATTCAGCTTACATCACAGGAGATAGATAATAAGAGTAAATTAGATTAATGTAAAATCTTAGAAATACGCCTGAAAGAAGCCACTCTGTCCCATGCTCACACATAGGAAGAATTAATATTGTCAAAATGGCCATTCTGCCAAAAGCAATTTAGAGATTCGATGCAATCCCTATCAAAATACCAATGATATTTTTCAGTGAACTAGAGCGAATAATCTTAAAATTCATATGGAACCACTAAAGACCCCAGATAGCCAAAACAATCTTGAGAAAGAAGAAAGCTGGGGGTTTATGCTCCCTGACTTGAAGCTATATTACAAAACTATAGTAATCAAAACAGTATGGTACTGGCTCAAGAACAGACCCATATATCAATGAAATAGAATGGAGAGCTCAGATATAAACCCACCCATATATGGTTGATTAATATATGATAAAGGAGCCATGACTATATGATGGGAAAAAGTCTCTTCAATAAATGGTGTTGGGAAACTGGACAGCTGCATGGAAGATAATGAAACTGGATTATTTTCTAACCCCATACACAAAAGTAAACTTGAAGTAGATTAAAGACCTAAATATGTTATGACATGAAACCATAAAACTTTTAAAAGAAACAGGCAAATATCTCTTTAATGTATCCATGAGCAAATTTTTTCTGGACATATCTCCCTGGGCAAGGGAAACAAAGTCAAAAATGAACAAGTGGGGAAAGGATTAAAGATGGCATGAGAGGTGAGACAGAGAACTTCTCCAAAAACCACATATGATATGAAAATATAGTTAATACAAGTAATCCTAAAAGGGCAACAGGAAAGAAGGCTGCGCCAGACTGCATACAACTGGAGAACACAGCAGCCCTCACAAAACGGCACCAGCACCGCTTCCCTGTGACCCCTGACATCGCTCCAGGGACTGAGCAGCTCCAGAGACTAGAGCTTCTGGGCACTAGAGGGCACCACATACAAATATGAAATGTCAAAGGAACCAGATTCAAGCCAAAATTTCACAAACACCAGAAAAAGGATGAAGGGAAACTGAACTCAACAATCTTCCTGAAAGAGAGTTCAAAATAAAAATCATAAACATGCTCATGGAGGTACAGAAAAATATTCAAGACCTCAGGGACAAATTTAGAGCAGAGATGCAGTCATTAAATTCCATATCTGAAATGAAACATACAATGGAGGGATTTAAAAGCAGATTAGATGTAGAGATGATAAATGGAATAGAAATTAGAGAAGAGGAATACAAATAAGCTGAGGCACAGAGAGAAAAAAGGATCTCTAAGAATGAAAGAATATTGAGAGAACTGTGTGGCCAAACAGAGCAATATTCACATTATAGGGGTACCAGAAGAAGAAGAGGGAAAAAGGGATAGAAAGTGTCTGAGGAGGTAATTGCTGAAAAACTAACCAATCTGGGAAGGAGATAGTCTCTCAGGCCATGGAGGTGCACAGAACTCCCAGCACAAGGGACCCAAGGAGGACAACACCAAGATATATAATAATTAAAATGGCAAAGATCAAGGATAAGGACGGACTTTTAAAAGCAGCTAGAGAGAGAAAAAAGATCACATACAAAGGAAAACCCATCAGGCTATCATCAGACTTCTCAACAGAAACCTTACAGGCCAGAAGGGAGTGGCATGATATATTGAATGCAATGAAGCAGAAGGGCCTCGAACCAGAATACTCTACCTGGCAAGGTTATCATTTAAATTTGAAGGAGGGATTAAACAATTTTCAGAAAAGCAAAAGCTGAGAGAATTTACCTCCCACAAACCACTTCTACAGTATATTTTGGAGGGACTTCTATAGATGGAAGTGTTCCTAAGGCTGAATAGCTATCACCAGGTGAAATAAAGCCACAGTAAAGAAAGAACAATTAATTACTAAGCAGAAGCAAAATCAAATCAACTACCTCCAAAGTCATTCAAGGTATAGAAAAAGAGTACAGAATATGATACCTAATATATAGAGAATGGAGGAGGAAGAAAAAAGGAGGGAAAAAAAAGAGCGTTTAGGTTGTGTTTGTAGTATAGCAAGTCAGTTATAATTATACTGTTAGATAGTAAGAGAATTACCCTTGAACCTTTGGTAACCACGAATCTAAGGACTGCAATGGCAGTAAGTACATAGACCAATTGATAATCACCCTAAATGTAAATGGTCTGAATGCACCAATCAAAAGACAGAGTCACTGAATGTATAAAAAAATGACCCATCTATATGCTGCCTACAAGAGACTTAACTTCAAACTCAAAGACATACACAGACTGAAAGTAAAGGGATGGAAAAAGATATTTCTTGCAAGTAATAGGGAGAAAAAAGCAGGAGTTGCAGTACTTGTATGAGACAGAATAGACTTCAAAATAAAGAAAGTAACAAGAGACAAGGACATCACAATGATAAAGAGGTCAGCCCAACAAGAGGATATAACTATTATAAATATCTATGCACCCAACACAGGATCACCTACATATGTGAAACAAATACTAACAATTAAAGGGGGAAATAGAGTGCAATTCATTCACTTTAGGAGACTTCAGCACACCACTCACTCCAAAGGACAGATCAACCAGACAGAAAATAAAAAAGGAGACAGAGACACTGAACAACGTATTAGAACAGATGGACCTAATGGACATCTACAGAACACTCCATCCAAAAGCAACAGGATACACATTCTTCTCAAGTGAACATGGAATATTTTCAAGAATAGGTCATATACTAGGCCACAAAAAGAGCCTCAGTAAAATTCAAAAAGATTGAAATTGTACCAACCAGCTTCTCGGACTACAAAACTATGAAACCAGAAATAAATTACACAGAGAAAAATTACACAGAACTAAATCCCACAAACACATGGAGGCTTAATAACATGCTCCTAAATAATCAATGGACCAATGACCAAATAAAAACAGAGATCAAGCAATACATGGAGACAAATGACAACAATAATTCAACACTGCAAAATCTTTTTGATGCAGCAAAGGCCATGCTAAGAGGGAAATATATTGCAATATAGGCCTACCTCAGAAAAGAAGAAAAATCCCATATGAACAGTCTAAACTCACAGTTAATGAAACTAGAAAAAGAACAAATGAGGCCCAAAGTCAGTAGAAGGAGGGACATAATAAACATTAGAGCAGAAATAAATGAGATCAGAAGAATAAAACAATAGAATCAATGAAAGCAGGAGCTGGTTCTTTGAGAAAATAAACAAAATAGATAAACCCCTAGCCAGACTTATCAAGAAAAAAAGAGAGTCTACACACATAAACAGAATCAGAAATGAGAAAAGGAAAAATCACTATTGACACCACAGAAATACAGAGAATTATGAGAGAATACTATGAAAAATTATATGCTAACAAACTGGATAACCTAGAAGAAAAGGACCACATTCTAGAAAAATAGAACATTCCAAGGCTGACCCAGGAAGAAAGAAAATCTGAATAGACCAATTACCAGCAAGGTAATTCGATTGGTAATCAAAACACTACCCAAGAACAAAACGCCTGGACTAGATGGTTTCAGTGCTGAATTTTATCAAACATTTAGTGAAGACTTAATTTCCATCCTCTTTAAAGTTTTCCAAAAAGTAGAAGAGGAGGGAATACCCCCAAACTCATTCTATGAGGCCAGCATCACTCTAATACCAAAATCAGGCAAAGACACCACGAAAAAGGAAAATTACAGACCAATATCCCTGATAAACATAGATGCAAAAACACTCAACAAAATATTAGCAAATCGAATTCAAAAATACATCAAAAAGATCATCCATCACGATCAAGTAGGATTTATTCCAGGAATGCAAGGATGGTATAACATTAGAAAATCCATCAACATCATCCACCACATCAACCAAAAAGGACAAAAACCACATGATCATCTCCACAGATGCTGAAAAAGCATTCGACAAAATTCAACATCCATTCATGATAAAAACTCTCAACAAAATGGGTATTGAGGGCAAGTACCTCAACATAATAAAGGCCATATATGACAAACCCACAGCCAAAATCATACTTAGCAGCAAGAACCTGAAAACTTTTCCTTTAAGATAGGGAACAAAACAAGGATGCCCACTCTCCCCACTTTTATTCAACATAGTTCTGGAGGCCCTAGCCATGGCAATAAGACAACACAAAGAAATAAAAGGCATCCAGATTGGCAAGGAACAAGTCAAACTGGCCCTGTTTGCAGATGACATGATATTGTACATAAAAAACCCCAAAGAATCCACTCCAAAACTACTGATCTAATATCTGAATTCAACAAAGTTGCAGGATACAAAATCAATACACAGAAATCTGTTGCATTCCTATACACTGATGAACTAGCATAAAGAGAAATAAGGAAAACAATTCCATTCACAATTGCATCAAAAAGAATAAAATACCTAGGAATAAACCTAAGTAAGAATGCGAAAGACCTGTACTCTGAAAACTACAAGACACTCATGAAAGAAATTAAAGAAGATTCCAGTAAATGGAAACACATCCCATGCTCATGGATAGGAAGAATTAATATGTCAAAATGACCATCCTGCCTAAAGCAATCTACAGACTCAATGCAATCCCTATCAAGATAGAGCAAATAGTTCTCTATTTGGAATTCATATGGAACCACAAAAGACCCTGAATAGCCAAAGCAATTCTGAGAAGGAAGAATAAAGCAGGAGGGATTATGCTCCCCAACTTCAAGCTCTACTACAAAGCCATAGTAATTGAGACAATTTGGAACTGGCACAAGAACAGATCCATAGACCAATGGAACAGAATAGAGAGCCCTGATATAAACCCAAGCATATATGGTCAATTAATATGTGATAAAGGAGCCATGGATATACAATGGGGAAAGGACAGCCTCTTCAACAACTGGTGTTGGCAAAACTGGACAGCTACATTGCAAGAGAATGAAACTGGATCGTTGTCTAACCCTGTACACAAAAGTAAAATTGAAATAGATCAAAGACCTGAATGTAAGTCATGAAACCACAAAACTCTTAGAAGAAAAGATAGGCAAAAATCTCTTGAATATAAACATGAGCAACTTTTTCCTGAACGCATCTCCTTGGGCAAGGGAAACAAAATAAAAAATGAACAAATGGGACTACATCAAGCTAAAAGTCTTTTGTACAGCAAAGGACACCATCAGCAGAACAAAAAGGCATCCTACAGTATGGGAGAATATATTTGTAAACGACGTACCCAACAAGGGGTTAACATCCAAAATATATAAAGAACTCACATATCTCAACACCCAAAAAGCAAATTACCCTATTAAAAAATGGATGGAGGATATGAACAGACACTTCTCCAAAGAAGAAATTCAGATGTCCAACAGGCATATGAAAAGATGCTCCACATTGTTAATTATCAGGGAAATGCAAATTAAAACCACAATGGGATATCAACTCACACTAGTTAGGATGGCCAACATAGAAAAGACTAGGAACAACAAATGCTGGTGAGGATGCAGAGAAAGGGGAATCCTCCTATACTGCTGGTGGGAATGTAAACTAGTTCAACCATTATGGAAAGCAACATGGAGGTTTCCTCAAAAAACTAAAAATAGAAATACCATTTGACCAGGAAATTCCACTCCTAGGAATTTACCCAAAGAAAACAACTCAGATTCAAAAAGACATATGCACCACTATGTTTATTACAGCACTATTTCCAAGATATGGAAGCAGCCTAAGTGTCCATCAGTAGATGAATGGATAAAGAAGATGTGGTACCATATACACAATGGAATACTACTCAGTCATTAGAAAGAAACATTATACCATTTGCAACAACATGGGTGAAGCTAGGAGGTACTATGCTTAGTGAAATAAGTCAGGCAGAGAAAGACAAATACCAAATGATTTCCCTCATTTGTGGAGTATAACAATGAAGCAAAATTGAAGGAACAAAAAAGCAGTAGACTCACAGACTCCAAGAAGGGACTAGTGGTTACCAAAGGGGAGAGGTGGGAGAGGGTGGGTGGAAAGGGAGGGAGAAGGGGATGGTGCAGTATCATGATTGGTGCACATAGTGTGTGTGGGGTCACGGGGATGATGGTGACAAATAGGGACTCTGGCATCTTACTACACTGATGAACAGTGACTGCAATGGGGTATAGGGGACAACTCGATAATAAGGGTGAATGTAATAACCACATTGTTTTTCTTGTGAAACCTTCACATGATTGTATTTCAGTGGTACCTTAATAAAAAATGAACAAGTGGGACTACATCAAACTAAAAAGCTGTACAGCAAAGGACACCAGTAATAGAACAAAAAGGCAACCTACAGTCTGGGAGAATATATTCATAAATGATTTATCTGATGAAGGGTTAATGTCCAAAATATATAAAGAATTCATACAAATTAATACCAAAAAACAAACAAAAAACCAAGGAGCCCAATTGAAAAATGGGCAGGGGACCTGAACAGACATTTTTCTAAGGAAGAAATACAGATGGCCCACAGGCACATGAAAAGATGCTCCTTATCACTAAGCATCAGGGAAATGCAAATAAAAACCACAATGAGATACCACCTCACACCAGTTAGAATGGCTGCCATCCAAAAGATAAGAAATAACAAGTGTTGGTGAGGATGGGGAGAAAAGGGACTCCCCCTACACTGTTGATGGGCATGTAAATTGGTGCAGCCAATGGGGAAAGCAATATGGAGGTTCCTCAAAACACTAAAAATAGAAATATCATATGACCCAGTAATTCCACTTCTAGGAATTTACCCAAAGGAAACAAACTCCCTGATTCAAAAAGATATATGCACTCCTGTGTTTATTGCCACATTATTTACTATGCCAAGATATGGAAGCAACCAAAGTGTTCTGTCAATAGATGAATAAATAAAGAAGAGGTGGTACATGTACACAATGAAATATTTTTCAGCTGTAAAAAAGAAATCCTGCTACTCGTTACAACATGGATGGACCTAGAGGATATGCTAGTAAATAAGCCAGGTGGAGAAAGACAAATATCATATAATTCACTTTTTTGTGGAATCTAAAAATGAAACAGAACAACATTAACAAAAGAGCAGTAGACTCATAGACACTGAGAAGTGACTGGTGGTTACCATGAGGGGGGGAGTGTGATGAGGATAAAGGAGCACAAAAATCTCAAATCATAATGTAAGTTGGTCAAGGAGGGTAGTAAGCATGGAGAATATAGCCAATGGTTCTGTAACAGCTTTCTATGTTGACAGATAGTAACTGCACTAGTTGGGGGTGAGGATTTAATAATGTAACTGTTGCACTACTGTGTTAATATACCTGAAACCAGTATTGTATATCAACTGTAAAAAGAAATATGCCTGGAACATGGTAAGCAGACAAAGTATGCCATTATAAATATCATTGTTATCCTGTTGGAGAATTTATTAGATTATGTTTTTGGAATCAGTTAGAGACTAAGAAGTCCTAGCATACTCATCAGATACCTTACCTGCTTTTAAGAGCCCACCTGGGATTGCTCTTAGCCTTCCAGCTTGGGCAGCCCTTGTAGTGAAGGTTGACTTACCTGGTCATCCAGTAGAATCTCCATCAGCTGTCAACTCTGAGTAACAACCTTTAAGAACCAAACTAAATGTTTGAATTGTTTACCTCTCCCTAATTAGGTGTCCTTGTACACGCTTAAAACTCCTTAGATCAAAAAGCCTGTGGCTCTAGTTTGCCTTGCGGAAAGTTGTGTTTCAATAAAGTACATGGGCCAGTTTCTGCCAATTAAGTGTCAAATGTTCTCTCTCTCCAAAGCTTTGTTCATTGTATCTGGTGGAATTTTGGTTCCCAGGGAGTAGATACTTGCCTTGCTTGTAATATGACATGTCTACTATAGTCCGAGGGTCTCTACTCTAGGTTTGAACTCCCTTTGACCCTCATCTAATACCTTACTATTTAATCATACTGTGACTGAACATTTTTGTTTCCACGCTTTTTACATCCTATGCCATTATTCCTTAGATTCTCTAAGGGATCATAAAATTTTTTGTAACAGTTGATACTTTGTACATATTTTTCCACAAATAGTTATAACAAAAACTGAAGTGTGAGATGAGGTTACTTCTAGGAAAATGCCCTTATTTTCTGCTTTTGAAAATTAAAAGAATGTCTAGGTATTGGGTGCTACTGTTGTATATAGGACGTTTTAGAATAAGAAAAATTCTGAATTGATCCTTGTTAACTTTATTTCAGAAAGTGGTAAAATAGCTGTGGAATATAGATCCTGTGAGGAGATCACAGATGCCAGAATCGCAGAGGACCTGCAGGATTTAATTCAAGTATGTAGAGATAAACATTTGAGGGTTATATAGGCCGTGTAGCCACAATTCAAAGCAAACAGCAGGATTTGGGGAAATTTGGCATGTATGGTCAACTCTATTACTGTTTGGAAAATGTGAAACTTCGCAACTACTTTTGATTGCAGGGAATTCCTGGGGCTTTTCCTGAAGTCCTGGCCCTTGGCTCTGACTCCTTATTTAAAACTTGGAGAGCAGGATTGAGGACCATCAGGGCACTTCTACAGTTGTGGATATTTGAGGGGACACCAGCCTTTAGGACTTCCCTCAATCAGGATCCCAGGGATTTGGGAATAAAATAACTATAACATGAAGTGTGATTATGCTACAGCATTTGGAAACTACTTTTCATATAAGGTATATAACCCAGATCTCAGCATCTCCTGTATATCTTGTATGAAATATGTTGCTGAAAACCCTTTCTGTAAATTAATTATATGGATGCCCTGAATTAAGGATTGAGTTGCCAAATTTCTAAAACAAAATACTAATGTGTTACACATAGGATGTTAAAAAAAAAAAAGGGCCCAAAATTATGTTTCATGTCATTGAGAGCTTAACTTGTGGCTAAATTTCTGATTACATGTGACCTTTGAACTTCCTGGGTCCACTTATATGTGGATTTTTTTCCCATAAATATATTAGAAAAAGTTTTTGGAGATTTGCTATAATTTGAAACTATTACTTTATTTTATTGTAAGAATACAGTATATAATACACATAACCTACAAAGTATGTGTTAATTGACTATGTTATTGGTATGGTCAACAGTAGGTTATTAGCAGTTAAGTTTTGGGGGAATCAAAAGTTGTATACTGATTTGCTATTGCATGAGGGTCAATACCCCAATCCTTGCATTATTCAAGGGTCAGCTGTATTTAACTCATGCCAAAGTTGAGAAGTTTGTTTTGAAGGGTACGAAGTAGAGAAAGAAGAGGTGGTTATGTTCTGAAAAAGGTCTTTGAAGTTTTTTCTATGCAAAATACTTTTCTAAATTCAACTTAAACCAGTCAAGGAATCTTCAAACTTATCCAAGTTTGGGCTTTAAGAAGTCTAGCTTCTTGTGAGAAGGGGATTCAGTATTGAAGCTAAAGATTTCAGAAACTTGATTGTAACAACAGATTCATTTCCAGTTTGGAATCAATTCCATTTAAAAACCATTACTATGTAACTGGACACTGGAAGTAAGATGAGACCCTTCCTCTCGGGTTTACATGCTAGAGGTTTTACCAGACAACAAACAAGGACTGAAATACAATAAAAAGGGCTGTGAAGGAAGCAACTGGGTGCTGGTTACATTATTTCAAGAAAATCATTTAACGTTCTGACTTTAACATCCATGTGTCTCCATGTGTGCACACAGGGTAGACCTCTGAAAAGTAGTGGTGTTAGTGCTTCTGGATGAGTGGCTGTGGTTGGTGAGCCAGGGTGGGATGGGGAGGGTTTCCCAAGCCAGTGTAGACGGCTACTCACTAACCGCTGAGAGAGGTTCCAGACCCTCTTTCCCAGAATGAATTGTTCACCGCAGAGCCCTTCCTATAGAAATTTTGGAGTCATCACTGAGTCAGCGGTAGTCCTTATATAATAGAGTGGTGAGTTGATAATCAGACATGGATATTGAGAGTTCAGAGAAAACGGCAACATTTTAGAATAACTGTAAAGCATATTTCCCTCCCCACCACCCTAACAGGTGCTCATTTTGCAGGTGAGCTCCTTCTCTTGGAAGCAGTATGGCCAAGGGGAGGAAGAATGTCTCTCAGATTTCAGCCTTGAGGAGGAAGAGTTCAGACTGCTGGGACTGGAAGAGCACTTTTGAATCTCCCAGGATGCCAGACTTGGTGGCTTCCTTGGGAAGCTCGGAACCCACTCCACCCTGACCCCTCTCTTAACCACCCCACCACCACCCCTGGGCTGCCAGAATCCAGGGCCACCCAGAGTGCAGCCTGAATCCTGTCTCTCTGAGTGGGAAGGGGGTTCTGGCAGGAGGTATTTGTAGCTTTGCAAGGGAAGGGGAGGCTTGGACCCCCATGATTCTTGGAAAGGGCTTGCTCAGGTGGTGCAGAGCCTATCTCAGCGCTCTCCTAATAAAGGTGGTGTAAATAAACGTGTCATAAATAAATGGTGGGGTGTAGGCAGGGGAGGGGTGTGCAGTTGCTAAGGATGCATGAGTGTTAGGGAGCTGTCACAGTGGTTCTGCACTGGTGCCCTACTGGCCTGGGCTGCTGTGCCCTGGAGCCTTTGCATGCCCTGTCCTTGCTGCGCTTCTGGGCCCCATGGCTTCTCCTTATGTGGCAACCATTGTGGCTGCTGGTCGAGGCAGCTTAGCCTCTGGAGTGGGCCCTGGACCCTGTGCAGCTGACTTCTGACCCCCCAGGACCAACTGAGTCCTGGTCTTTGCATTCCTCTAATCTCCCTCCTGAATCACCCCATGCACTTACTCCCCCAGCATTACCTGGGGCCCTCTGCTTCAGCCCAGATGCTGGGGCCACATCAAGAACTGACCTGTACTCTGGGTCCTTTCCTGGACTCGGATTCAGCTGCAGAGCTGCACCCAGGGCCAGAGCAGTTTGCTGTTCCACATTGGGACCTGAAGGACGAGCTAACCCAGCATCAGGGTCTCCCAGAGGTGGTTCTGGTGGTAAGTTGGGAGCAGAATCAGGTCCCAGGTCTGCCTCCTTGAATCAAAACTAAGTCTGAAACTGTAAGTGTAGATCAGGCCAAAGATCAGTCATTTGAAATACTTGTTTCACCTCTAGGTAGTCGTAGTTCAAAACCAACAAGGTTTACTTTTTCACTTCCAAACCTGAAGAAAGATCTAGCTCAGTGTTGGCAGCTTACCAAAGTTCTTACTGGAACTCCAAGCCTATTTGCAAGAAAATGTCTAGAACAGCAGTTGCAGGATGATTATTTATATCCCAATACAGGTGCCTTCTTTCCTGAGGAGAAGCTACCTATAGAATTTCTGGGGGGCCCTGAGGAGGTTGAACCTTTCTCCAAGAAAAGTGTCCCCACTCATGGACAGAAAATTCAGGAGACTGAATCTTCATCCAGGCGGATTCCCAGGATCGGCATCCAGAGCCCCTGAAAAGACAGACCCCCCTCACGTCAGCAGGGGGCTTCATCTCACCCGAGTCCCCTAAGGAAGATGAAAGTTCTGCAAACCCACAGGAGGCCCTAGCTGAGCCTTCAAACACTCCAGAGGAGGCTGAGCCTCCAGAACAGGAGGAAGCCCCAGCTCAGACTCCAGAGTCACCTAAGGAGGCTGCAGCTCCACCATGAGCACAACATGAGGTAAACATTCCATCTCCAAGTCAAAATGAAGCTCGGCAGTCAAACTTGCACCCTGTCACCGTGCAACCTGTGGAGCTGGCAGTTACCCTATCTCCAGAGGTCACTAATGAGGTTAAACCTTCTCCAGCCCAGCAAGAGGCCCTGGCTCAGCTCTGAAGAGACCGAGCCTCCTCCAATCCAGCAGGAGGTCCCCGCTCAGCCTGCACAGCCCCCTGAGGAAGTTGAACCTTTTCCAGTTCAGCTTGAAGCCCCAACTCAAGCTCCGGAATTCCCAGATGAGGACATAACTCCAATTCCAGCGAGTGATGAGCTGGGAGCTGGACCTGTGGATTGGCATCAAGCTCATTCAGACTTGCCCAGTGTTACATTTCACCTGGTGGATGTAGAGCTTACCATAACTCCAGAGCCTACTGTTGAATCTCCAACATCCCGCAGGAGGCCCCACCTCCTGAGGAGGCAGAACAGCCTCCAACTCAGCAAGAGACCTCAGCTAAGCCTCCAGAGCCTCTTACAGAGGCTGAGCCTTCTCCGAGTGAACAGGAACCACCAGTTCAATCTTCTGAGCCTAATGGGGAAGTTGAACCTCCAGCCCAGGAGGAGGCCTCAGCCCAGCCTCCAGGGCCCCTTAGTGAGACAGAATCTTCAACCCAGCAGGAAACCCCAGCTTATTCTCCAGGGGAGATAGAACCACCGGCAATCCTGCAGGAGCAACCAGCTGAGCCTCCAGAGCCTTTTTCTGGGGAGATGGAACCTTTTCCAACGCAGCAGGAACACCCAGCTCAACCTCCAGGTTCAGCTCTGGATCCCCGTACTGCTCAGCATGTATCTCAATGCCACTTGCAAGAAAAACATGGCATAGAAGCTACATAACAAGGATTCTTCTGATGAGGAGGAGATTTTCAACAAGAATGGAGGGTAAAAGATTAGGGATAATTTAAAATTCTTATCTAAGATGAAGAAATAACAGAAAGTGCAATTATTCCTTTCAAGAGTAAAAGCCTTGGCATTCTCGTCCCAGGGAGCTTGGTGAAGCCCCAACAGAGAAGGTTCTGACTTGAGGGTTGGCTGCTGAAGAGCTTGGGGAGGGGAGTGAGGCACAAGACCCCACTGCAGAGTGAGCCCCAGCCTGCTCTGGGCCACCTACAACTTTTATTTTCTAATATTGGCTTCTCAGCATTGCTTGTAAAATACTTTTCTCTTATTAAAATGAATAAATGCATAACCAATTCTAGCCATCTGGTAAGGAGAGTATAATTATTAAAATAACAAGTGCCATAGGCACAAAAAGCAGGGCTGAGGCCAGAATCCCCTGTGGCAGCCACTCCTTCCACAGAGGTAATGCGGGCAAAGAAGGACAAATGAGGTTTTCCTCCCTCATTTCCCCAGTATCATCAGTCCCTGGAAACTGGAAACTATACCATCCTCAAGGAGTATTATTAAATCAAATAACAGTCTATTCTAGGGCTCTCTCTTCCCTGGTTCGTCACGTACCAGTTATTTACGACCTGCTGACGTCCTGCCTGCAAAGGATCACCCACGTCTGGCCCCTCTCACGGGGTCTTTGTTGTTGCCAGGATACTGGGATCTTTGAGCCTGGCTCCGCTGGGTGCCAAGGCCTGTTTTCCCAGGCTTTCAAACCCGTGCAGTGCATGTGCCCCAGCTTGGTAGTAGGGGGTTCTTCACCCTCATCAGCTAGTGGAAGATTCACATTGGTTTTTTCTTTCTTTTAAAAAATCCCAGCTCTTGAATAGCTAGCTTGCAGGGAGGTGTTGGAGGAATAGGGTAAAGACAGTAATTGCCTAAGACTGCCCTCTGCAGGCCTTCTTTCAGGAAAACGTATTGGTGGAGCCACTTCCCCATTCACCTGTACTGCCCTGGACTCTCCTGACCCCACTGAGGGTCAGATGCGTGCTGCTCTGCTCCCTCCAGTTCAGCCCAGCTCCAAACCTACCCACTTCCTTCCTTGTCCAACACAGATCCCCGGCTGCATGATTCCAAGTGATAATACAGTGCAATCTGTAAAAGATGCAAAGGTTCCTCCATTCTTTCTGGAAAGAAAGTCATTAATAAATTACTTTTAGTTAAGTCAGTAAGTTAGATACGTTATTGAGTGAAAGAAACTGAGTGAACAAGCTTTGATAATCTACCTAAATGGCCACAAATAAATGCTGGTGGTTTAGTGATATGAGATGGAAAGTGGTGCCAACCATGGAAGCACAGCTCAGAGCTCCCCAGCGTAGCCGTGTGAGGGGGTAACAGCCCAGCATGTGCTGCTGGTGAGGTGGCGTTCCAAGCAAAGTGAACAGCCTGCTGTTCCTCATCTGGTCTGCGTGCTGGTGCTGGGCGAGAGACCCCTGTTCCCTTGGTGCCTGCCCAAGTTACCTCCCAAGTTTCTTACTAAAAATGACAAATGTTTTTGTCTGGGTGGTGACTTCAGTGAGCCAACAAATATATACTGTGCTTAAAGCACAAGACTAAATAGTAGTAATAAAAGGAAGTAGCAGCTAACATTTACTGTTTGCTTACTTGGTGCCAAGCCCCAGGTTAGGCATTTCAAAGTTTCATTTAACCCAACAATCCATGGAAGCATATTTTGTTATCCTCACTTGAAAAGAGGGCTTACAGAATGTAGGTAACCTGCTCAGGGGCTCAAGGCCACACATCCAAAACTGTGAGGTAGGCCTTAAAGTCAGGACAGACTCCAAAGCCTGCAAACCATTACACTGCCCTGTTGGATGGTAGAGGGATACAGAGAAGTGTAAGCCATGGTTGTCATCAAAGCATCGAAACAATACTAATAACCTGGGTGATGAGGATGATGGCAGCTGTGCCGACTGAGCCTCCTGCGTGGGCCAGGTATCGTCCCAGGCACTTCAGTTATACTGTTAGGTCACAAGGGCAGAAACGCCCCAGACCAGCTCAGGCTCTAATGAGTTTGGGGTTGATTCTAATAAGAGAGGTGGATACAAAGATAGGGAGCTGAAAAAAACTAAGATTGGAGAGTCCTGTACCGCTGGGTTTCCCAGTATGTGGGCCAGGATTGCTGGCAGCTCCATGTTCCAGTTCTGGGAGATTTCCCTTATTTCAAAGTCAGTACAAAAAGTGAGGCTTAGGTACTATTTTTTTCATATAATACTACCTCAAATTTGCACAATACTTAGCCTCAAATGCTACCGTACTATATTTCTAAATTTAAATTCCCAAGAATAAGACTCTGCTTTGCCCAGGTTGACCTAGTGGTTTTGCCAGAGCCTAGAGCTTCACCCGGCCAGTCTGGACGGACTGTCTGTCCCCAGGTTGGGAACACAGCCCTGGCTGTGGCCTGGAAGGAGGGAGAGGTGCCCAGGTCAGCTGGTACACACATGGCTGCATAGGGCTGCTCCTTCTCCTTATTGATGGACACGTTAGCTCAGCCCAGCTCCTCTCGGAGATCGGAGTGATGGGAGAGAGGGGCATAGAGCGCCACCAACTACTAAATGAATGAAAAGTCTCCTGAAACCTGTCAGAGACATTAGCCATTTTTTAAAAGATAATGAAATGAGACTATGATTAGGGTAAAAATGATAGAAAAGAAATGTTATAGGGATTCAGAAGAGGGATGGTTAGGCAAGCTAGGGAGAGTCCGTGGAACTTGTGGAACTTGAGCTGGCCTGGATTATGTGGCAGACACTGTACCTGGTGCTGGGGACAGACTGACTAGGACAAAGTCCCTACCCACTCAAGGGGCCCCTAAGACTGGGAGGAGGGACAGACCCCTGAAGATATATGTAGAAGACGGTGTTGGGCATGACAAGGGCAGGGTGCCAAGGAGTGGTTCAGCTCTCGGTTGGCTGGGAAGGAGTAGGTGAGGGATGGCTCGGTGTGGGGGATGTGGAAGAAAGCCAAGTAGTAGTTTAGGCTGACAAGGGGAAGGCAAGGCATCCTAGTCAGAGGACAGCACAGAGACAGAGACGCAGGAAACCTCGCGTGTCCTTGAACTGCATGCAGTCTGGTGTTCGGAGCTCGGAAAAGGCAGCCCGTGAGTCTGCGCAGGCGAGCAGGGAGCCGGTCCCAGAGGGCCTGGTGAAGGCGCACGGACCTGACCAAACAAAGCGTGAACTTCTGATGGTTTAGGCAGAGAAGAGGCATGACCAAGCTGGAGTTGTAGGAGGAGTAATTTGATGGTGGCCTAGAAGCAGAGAGGCCACTTGGGGGTTTAGACTAAGTAGGAACTGGGGGAAAATGGGGCACCAGATAGGAGGTTCTGCGGCAGGTAAAGGACTTGGATGGTGGATCTGCGTGAGTGAGAACTGGAAGGATGAGCTATGTGCAGAGAGTGAAAGATCGGACTTTGGTTATCTTTATGGTACATTGTAGATGATGATAAGGTTCAAGCATCACCTAGGAATGGGGATCAGTGAAGTGTCAGGGATCTAGGAGGTGACGCCAGTTCCACAGTCTGGGAGATTCATTTCCTTTCCCCTTTCAGCAGCTCAGCAGAGCTAGTTCAACAGCTACCAACAAGCCCACTGGAAAAATAGACTTCACCTTTCTAATGAGGTCATTTCTTTCATTAAGCAGTTTCCACTGTTAGTGGTATAGATGTTCCCTACCATGCCATCCCATAAACATGATACATTCCAGGCAGGAGCCCTCCCTACAGGACCCCTAGCCAATGGACACATGGTCCAGCTAAGTCTGGCCTAATCCCCTTCCCTGAAAACTTAGGGAATTGAATGCCGTCTGTTACTGTTCTGCTTGTAAGTTTCCCCAAGAAACAATAAAACCCTACTTTATATTTGCACATTTGGTGCTACTGTCCTCTTTACACAACAGGGGGTCAAGAAATTTAGTGCCCAGGAAAGTCTACGGGTTATTGGCATGGCAAATATGGTAGAGAAGAGCTAGAGCTTCGAGTCAAAGTCCCAACCATTCGAGGGTGTCATTTATTAATACACCAGCTCGGAGAGTCTCAAGCCTGTCTGGTTCAACCCCTGTATCAGACAGTGTATTGATTATCTGGTGCTATGTAACAGATTATACCAAAATAGTGGCCTAAAACAACAATAAACAATAAACACCTCTGTGAGCCAAGAATTCAGGAGTATGGGCAGTTCTGGCTCTGGGTCTTCCATGAGTCTCCTGAACATCTGAGTGAGCCTAGAGCCTCTACATGTCCCCTGGAGAGAAAGCGGGTAAGGAGGTCACCAGAGCTACGGTGATCATAAGGTGGGGCCTGCTGATGTCAAAGGCAAATTTCAGAGAGATGGTAATAGCATTATCAACTTAGTGAACACCTACTATGTGCTGGGCACTGAGCTAAGCACTTCACATTTTCTCATAACAGCCTAGGAGATGAGATATTGTCCCCATTTAAGAATTTTTAAATATCACAAAGTGTAGGGACAGTGGAAGTTCCTATGGCCAGGATCTTCACCTGACCCTAAACTACTTGATGTAATTGACCGATTGCTAGGCTACTGCTTCCACACCTGTTAGCAATGAACTATTATTGACTGAGTCACTACATAAAGAGCTCTGCCCTGTGCTCTGGGCAGAGGCAGAGACGGATTATGGGCCTCTAGACTGCTGGACGTGGACGTAATCCTAGTGCTCGACTGCTGCCATGAGACAAGCCAGGTATAAACCCTTTTACCCCAGAAACATTCGTTGTAATTTCTCGGTCTCACCAAATCCATAGTGAACCAGCCTGGGGCCGAAACCCTCAGGCGAGACACACAAGGAAGAATAACAACAAATGAGGCTCTTACTTCTTTTAAGTTTTCCCCCTCCAGTTGAAGGCTGAGGCAAGACATACTATTTATTAATAGTCCTAAAATGCCATTTTTAAAAAATTGTTTCCCCACTTAGGACTTGTAAAACCTCCTTAAGGCCTGCTGGTCATTCCCAAGTCCTACGGTCAGTTTCTAAGGCCTTCCTTTGTGTGTCGCTACTCTCCCAGGAATGCCACTTGCTGCAGCCAGCTGACCTCTTTCCCTCTCTTAGCTCCTCTACTCTGCCTTCTCCTCTATCTTCTCACCCCCACAACCTCAACCCATCTCGTTCCTCCCTTCTGTTGTGCACTCCTTCTGCCCATTCAAATGATTCCTAACCCTCCAAGACCCAAGTCAGGCTCACTGCTTCCCTACAGCAGTCTGGCAGCCAGAGGTCTCTGCCCTGATTAGCGATGGCCACAATTTAGTCTCCTTAATGCAGCTGCCAAATTGGAACTGAAGATACCAGCGCTAGAGA